CTCTCCCAGCCTGGCCCCATAGCAGAGGGGCTCCAGCCCTCGGAGCATTTTAGTAGCCCTCCTCTGGCCCCGCTCCAACAGCTCCATGTCCTTCTTGTGCCGAGGGCTCCAGAGCTGGACGCAGGGCTCCAGGGGGGCCTCACGAGAGTAGAGAGCAGAATCCCCACCCTCGACGCTGGCCACACTGCTGGGGATGCAGCCCAGGGTAGGGTTGGCCTTCTGGGCTGCCAGCGCACATTGCTGGCTCATGTCCAGCCTTTCATCCCCCAGGTCCCTCTCGGCAGGGCTGCTCTCCATCCCTTCATCCCCCAGACTGTATTGATGTTGGGGGTTGCCCCGACCTGGGTGCAGGACCTTGCACTTGGCCTTGTTGAACCTCACAAAGTTCCCATGACCCCACCTCTCCAGCTTGGCCAGGTCCCTCTGGATGCCATCCCGTCCCTCAGGCGTCAGCTGCGCCACTCAGCTTGGTGTCATCTGCAAACTTGCTGAGGGTGTGGGAATGGTGACAAACAGTTTCCATCATGTGCTGTAAGTCACTGGGAAGCCGCCTTTGTTTTCAGAAACAGAAACCATTTTGTTTTCAGGGATGCTGCATTCTGCTAAAGATCCCCGTGCTCTCAAAGGGAGACCTAAGGAAGCACAAAATCGTTGCTTTCTCTAATTACTCCATTGTAGCTCCTCAAGCCAGTGAAGAATTCATTGTCCCCCAATTCCTCTGTGTAATTTCTGCCTGAAGATGTCTTTAAAAACAGATTTGAGCCCAGGGAATGTCCCTACACCAGTTTGGGGCTTCCCACCCAAAACTCCTGTGGCACTGGAGTTGTTAGCAGAGATTGCCTCCTGATAGCACGTGTGTCACTGCAGTCCCTGCCAGAGAAGGTGTCCATCCAGTGCTCAGACAAACCACACCGCCCACCCACTCATAGCAGAGAGAGGAGCTGGGCGAGTCCCTCCCCACGCTGGGAGAGACACCAGCAAATGAGCAAAGACGACCCTTTTCACGTGCTGACCCCCCGCCCATCCCCATTTCCCTTATCCCCAGCAAGGGAAGGGGCTCGCTCCAGCCCGGTCGGGTCTGCAGGCCTCTGGCTGTTTCCAGCTGGTTTGAGCCAGGGGGTCCCACTCTCTGCTCCCTGCAGAGGAGCCGTGGTGGCACGTGCAGGGATGCATGAGCCAGATCCGATCCCCACGGCTGCACCTCTGCAGTGCTGTCCCCGTGGTGTCACCCCGTGGTCTCCATGCCAGGAGCATGGGACTGGGCAGAGCATCTTGTGCAAGAGCCAGCACCCCTCCAGGCCCGTTCCAGACAAGAGCATGTTTGCAATTCCCGGAAGGTTTTGATGCGGTTGCTCAACCAAGTTCCTTAAAGAAACTGAATTGTCAGGGCTGTGCTCCATGTTAACGTGGGATAACCGATGGCTTATTCTTGTGTCCCCCCATCTTGTGTTTTAAATACTGGGCTACCAAAGACCAGCATGAACAGATGTCACTCCTGTGCCCTACAGCGTCACCAGTGTTCCCAGCCACCAGGTCAGCCCATCCCTCTGGTTCTTGGTGCAGCGCTGCTGGGGGGACCTCATCCTCTGTGGGGTCCTACCTGCTGCTGGTGCTCCCATGGGGCTTCTGTAAGCTCCTAGGACACCAGTGCTGCCCCTGAAATGCCAAAGCATGCCTTGAAATTTCTCTTTTCTGGGTGATGGCTTGGTCATTGACTACTTGAGGTCCATGAGAACACTGTTGGAGACTCATCTGTGGTCACGCTGCTCACCTGAGTGGAGACCTGTTACTGAATACCCAAAATGCTGGGGTTTGGCACATCCTACCCCAATGCCCTGCTCTTCCAAGAGGCTGGCTGAAGCGGTGCCCTGCTGCAGCCTGCAGTGGTGTGCTGTGGTCGATGGGGACATCATGCAGTGCACTGGCACCCTCCATCAGCTGCAGTGAATCTGGAGCACTTTGGGTCTCCTTGCCACCAGCAATGTCTGCATGTGCCACTACGGGGACGTGCATCGTAGTCTGCATCAGAGGGCATAACTGGCAACTGGTGGTCACCGTGGGTTTTTCTCCCATCCTGGGCAACCTCCAGGCTAGTGAGTTGTTGCAAGTGTAGGAAATGGATTCCCAGCCTGGGAAACCCCAGGCCAAAATTACAGTCACAAGGAGAAGGGATGTTCCCTGAGCCCTGGGCAGGACCTGGCCTGCTGGGGACACCGTTTGCAAGAGCCTGCAGCCCAGGGACCCCAGCACCCGCTCCCTGCCCCGCCGTCTGGGCTGCACCTCCAGCAAAGCATGGAAACGCCGTGAGGAGGAGAAAGGCAGCCAGGTCCATGCCGGGCTTTTAAGGGAGGGGAATGAGGAACAGGAGCAACCTCAGCGCTGCCAAAACCCCTGGCCAAGCTCAGGGGCTTAATCTCAGCCTGGGGCATGGGGACACATGAGATTTTGGAGTCATTCCTTTCCTTTGCCTGCTGGGCACCCCATGGTCTTTATGGACAGGGCGAAGCTGTTTCTCAGGACATCGGTATAAGCCTGACACAGCCAGAGCAGATCACCCCGTACTTCACCCCTGACATGGGGTGAGCCCTGGGATGATGTTTTGCAATAACGAAGGCAACAGCCCAGCATAGCCCCGGGGAGCGCTTGGGAAACAAAGGCAGGGAGGATGGAGAGATACTCAGATAGTGCAGTGGTAACGGCCTGATAAGTGTCTTGAACAGATAGAGCTGGTAGAAATCGAGATTGAGAGACAGGAAAAGTGCTTAACCGATCGGAATCTGCATCAGAGGGCATAGCTGGCAAAACTCCCAGCACTGATGGGGAATGAGAGGGGATGACCCCCCACACGCTCCTGCGTGCCCTGGGAGACCCTCAATGCAGCTCTCGCTGCAAGCTTGCCCTAATTACTCTTGTTTTGAAAATGCACTGAAAGCATGAGAAAAATGGTGCATGTCTGGCTGTCCGGGGAGCGTGGGGAAAGACCGTGCCTTGCTGCAGCCTGCAGGCTCCTCAAGTTCCCCTGCCCAACAGCCGTGTGGGGAGGAAAGACTCAGGAATGAGGATGCCATGGGCCAGCTGAATAAAGCCTGCCTCAGACGAGCTCAAAAGTTCCATCAGTGGCTTCAGCGACACCATCAAAGGCAACAGCATGACATAAAATTAACTGAGAAGGCAAAGTCCTGAGCCACGTGTTGACCTTCAGGGGGCTTGTGGAGGCTCTGTGGTCTCTCCAAGAGCCCAGGCACCAGGCAGGAGCCCTGCAGAGACTGAGGTTCCCCCAGCAGTGCCTGGCTGGGCAGGCTCAGTGGCACAAGGAAGGGTTAACCTGGTGGCTGGTATGAGGAGATTGCTCTGCCAGGGCCCATCAGACACTGTAGCTGGAAGGACATTACTTTAGATCTGGTTTTTTTCCTGCTGTGGGGCCAGGGAATGGGTTTGTTCCTGATGCCGGGGGCAGGGGGCTGTGCTAGCAAAGGGTCTCTCACCATCTGACACCCTTCCATCCACTCTCTGAGAGGTTTCTCCAAAAGGATTTGCTCCTTGCAGTCAGCAGATGCTTCACCATGGCCTTGTCGTGCTATAGCAGTGCCCTGGCAAGTGGTTTGTCCAGAGAGTCTGCAAACACATGGGAACAACTAATAAGGACCACCAGGGCTCGGCAGTAGGTGATGATTTCTGTAATGCTGGGTATTTTTGCACAGTGGGGCACGCCTGGTCTGCTACTGGGTTTGCTACTTATGCCCAGTGGGATTGGGTAGAAGAAAATAACTTTGGCTCACTACTTGTCCTGATTCTCGTGCTCACTTACTGCTTTTATGGAGAGTAAATGGAGAGGGGCAGGAGAGGAGCAGGGAGGATGGGATACTGGCGGGGGAGGCACAGGCCTGAGGACGCCTCCCCTCCTGGACTGGTGACAAGACTGGAGAACTGCAGAGTTAAGGATGAAACTTCTTTTTTTATTCAATCATTTCTCCTCCCAAGAGAGCCACAGAGCCTGGGCATGGGGCACTTGGGCAAACCCACTGGGCAGCCATTCAAGGGCATTTTGAGGACCCTCAAGGCGGCAGAGGGGGGGTCCATGCACACAGCCCTGATGGGGGATGCTCCAGGAGCCGATTTTGAAGAGCGTTGACCCTTTTTGCCTGGGATCTCACCCCTTGAGCAGGCCACGTCAGGGCTGGTGGGCTCGGGCAGGCGCAGGCTCGGTGGCCCTCAGCTCCCCAGTCCTCACTGCCCAACGGGGTGCGCAGCGCCCATCAGCTGAAGGCCAGTTCTGAATAGCTTTAAAATATTTTACAGAATATTTCCATCTCCATGCTTTGTGCCAAAATGTTTCTCCTTCTTCTTCCTCCTCCCCACCCCCCGAATTTATCAGTGAAAAAACCCTAAATATTATTTTGTTCTGAGTTCAGAAAAAAACCAAGAATGCAAAACCCCTACCCTCGTGTAACAAAAGGCCGTTGGGGACATGTTGCTTGCAAAGCTGCAGACACACTTAGGAATCTCCCCTGCTTTAAGGCTGTTGCGAAGGTGTTGGCTGAAGGTGGAGAGGAAAGCAAGCCGTGTAATGAAGGCAACCAACTGTGCCCCTTTTGTACCGGCTCACAAAGGCGTATCTTTAGCAAGAAGAGCATCATGGTGCGTGTTCGGAGCAAGCCCAGCCCTGTGCGCGCTGCAGCCTCTGCCCCCAGACAGGAGACCGGCTCTCTTTATTTGCAGGGTAATGGTACCAGCTCTGCGTCGGACGGGGTAAACATTTCCATGCAGCTAAAAGGCGAACCCTGCTCCGGCTCTCACCCAGCTTCAACTCCTCTGCACACCTTGCTCTTCTGGTTGAGGATAAAACGTTGCACGCTTCGAAAGCCAAAGCTTCTTTCCAGGGGTGAAATCAGCCTCAAGCCGGCAGCAACGGCCGCCTCGAGCACCCGCTGAGCCCCTCATGTGAACCCGCCAAATCCTGCTGGTCCCCAGGGCCACAATCCCCATGGGTTTGCTCAGCTGCGCTCATCCTGCGGGATGCTCACGCTGCTGCTCTGCGGCCCAGCGGCAGCAGCAGGGGGTTTTGGTGGAGGTGTCGCCGAGGCTGGTGCAAGAGAGGTCGGAGAGGGGACAGGCGGGGGGGGCGCGCGGCGCGGGCGCCCCCCCGCCTCCGGCAGCTGGGAAGCGTAGAGAGCTAGTGTGTGATGGAGGAACTGGTACTGCTCGCTCGTCTGGATCATCCCCCCTCTGCAAGGGAAAGGCAGCTCCGGGTGAGACCTCGCCCCAGCCCACAGCCCCGGCTCCCTGCTCCCGGGGCACAAATACTCCTGCTTCACCCACCACACCCAGCTACACCTGAGACAGGTACCAGAGCTGCCCAAAGAGTGTTTGGGCTCAGAACCATTGCCAAGCTGTTCAAAATGCAGACTAGCAACTGATTCAGCTTTAATTTTTACTGGTACTTCTCAAAAAGTGGCAAAATCAAGTATTTCTGAATTTTGTGGCTGAGCTGGAAGGGCCAGACCGGCTGCCAGGGTCAGAGCCGCTCTCCTGTCCCTCACGTCCTCGGGTCCTCAGAGCCACAACAGCCCTGTCAGCCTGGCGCTGGGCAATCCTCTGCTGTCGCCACATCTGCATCTTTCAGCAGCCCTTCTGGTTTCCATCCAAACCTGTCCCCATGCCCCCTCGCGATGCTCGTCCCCACGTCCCTCCCGTCCCCTCCTCCCAGGCTTGGCACCCAGCAGCACCCTCCCAGGACCAGCCCGCTCTGAGCACCCACCTGTCTATGCGGAGGTGGCAGACGATTCCCAGGATGTCCACCTCCCCCTTCTCCTTCAGCTGCTGGCACCCGATCCTGGTAGCGATAAAGCAGCCCGTCCGGCCGATGCCTGCGCTGCGGGACAGACACAGCTCTGCTGAGCACCGGCAACATACGCCGCCTGAGCCGGACATACTCCTGGATTGGTTTGCTGCCAGGATTTCTTCCCAGAGGGATGCTGGCATCCCAGTCCCAGCTGCCAGACCAACTTCCTTAGCCAGACACCAAAAGACGTGAGCTGGTGTCACTGCCATGGCACGGGGGTCCTGCCACCTCGCAGGGCCCAGCTGAGGCCGCTCTGGAAGCACAAAGCCGGTCTCTGCCCCCCAGCCCCACACGGTGCCGGGGTCTCTGCAGCCCCTCCACCTCCCCTCCCAGCTCTGCTCTAACCCTGGGCACCCAGGGGTTTGCCCCAGGGACCCCAGCCTGCAGCGTCACAGGGACAACGGGCGCTCTGCTCCACTGTCCCCAAACTCACTCAGCAGTCAGAGAAAACACAGAGGCCACCTCGTCCAGGAGGGCTGCCCTGAAGAACAGCTTCGCAGCCGAGCCGCAGGCCGTGCTCTGTGGCAGGGGAAGCAGGAGCCTGAGCCATGGATCTGCCCTGGGTCTGGTGGCTGGGTCCTGACCCTGCAGAGCTCTCCTGCTCCCACCTCGCTGTCCGCAGACCCGGGTGCAAATCGTATTTCTTTACAGGGCTGTATGCACCGTGCCAATGCCACCACCCTGATGCTAGGACAGGAGTTGCTGGCTGAACAACTCTGCCATGGGGATGCCATGCCCTGGGATTTCTGCACCACAGTGGGACCAGCTCAGGAGCATTCACATGTGGGATTTTCCCCTCTGGCATTTGCAGACTGACCCCAAGGTGAAGGACACACAGGAGCTTGGCTGAGGAGAAAACTCTTACCTGCAGTGCACAACGATGGGCCCTGGGCTGGCTGGAGCCTCCAGAGTCTCCTCCACCTTGGACACCAAGTGCAGCAGGGGCTTGGCCGACTCGGGTGTCTGCTGGTCCGGCCAGGAGGGGAAGAGGATGTGTTTGACCTGGCGGCATTCACCTTCAAGCTTTTCCAGCACAGAAGAAAGAGAAATCAGGACGTGGGAGCACGGACTCGCTGGGCTGGGCCAGATGAAGGCAGGGAGTCCAGCTCAAGCGGAGGCCAGGCAGCCTGTGCCCATCTCATCTGCTCCCTGCCCAATTTGAGCCTCTGCCAGACACCCAGGAGAGACCCCTGGGCCAGGGGCACTGGGAAGTGTCCCATCCCAGAAGATGGGAACAGATGCAGAGTGTCCCAATACTGTCCCCATGGTCCAGGCGGAGCCAGCAAGATCCTTTTGGCTAGTGTCAGCCCAGGATGACTACGGGGAGCCCAAGGGGCAGAGCCCCATGGCAGAGTGCAAGCAGCGAAAGGTGTGAAGGTCTCCCGGCTGCCCCCCTCTCCTGTCTCCTCAGGGCAGAGTCCTTCTCCCTCTGGGCCCCCTCCGGCAGGCAGGAGCTCTGCAGAGCCGTCCTCTGGCTGGGGGCTCACAGACCCAGCTCTCCCAGCCGCCGACCCTCTGCTCTCCCATCACACAGCGTTGCCCCCCCCCCAGGCACCTGGG